TACTCTAAAAAGTAACCCAATTAGATTAACACCCTAAACTAATTAAACATCACATCCTAAATTAAAACAAAACTCCAAAATCCTAAAATCTCCCAATTGAGAACATAGACCACAAACACCATGCACGCCACTACAATAGTTGTGATGACGCCGCTGCAACAACGCTGATGGCATTTCGCCGATCTGGTCCATGTTCCTGCTTTTGGCATTTTAGCTGACGGTAGATTGGGTTTTGGTTGACTAGGTGTGTAGCGATGCTGCATACGACTGAGGTGCCAAGACTAGGGTGGTCGGGATCTGAGGTTGATTTAAGCGGCTTGCTGCAAATGTTTTCTTGGGCTATATGGAAAGACATACTCTAGGCGCATTGTATGAGTGCTGTCGAGAAAATAGATTTCTTGAAAAAATCGGGCTTCAAACCACCTACAAAAATCGGAAGTCGAAATAAAATAATTAAAAAAATACTTACAGATGCCTTCAACAAAGGAACAATGAAAGTAACGAAATTGCTGAAGGGTTAATTATCAAATTATGAACTTTTTCTACTGGTTGAACATTTATAATTGCAGAGCTTTCAAATATATTCAGTTAGTTTTTGGTGGGTATTGGAGAAACGAGGTAGAAATGGTTTCAGAGCCTTGGATATTGGAGTGGTTGAGGTGGAGAAGGTGAAGTGGCGGTAGAGTGGTTGAAGTTGTATAAAATGATATGCTAGTGTTTTGCGGCTTTTTTTTGTTACTTTTTTAACGTTTGTCAATTTTTTGAATACGTCCATGTTTGAGTTCGTTTTTCTTTTGTTTTATGTGTATAGTTTTTTGTGTTGAGGCTTTGGTCTGCTAGTAACATTAGTAGTGGTGACGGAGAAAGTGGAGGAATAGTGGTTGTGTAAACAATTGAGTTGTTAGATAATGGTGGTGATAAATTGATTTAAAGATGCTTGATGTTTTGATTAGTGTTTTGCCACTTTTTTAATTTTTATCACTTTTTTAAAATTTCCATCACTTTTTTTTGATTGTTGTTGTCACTTTGTAATAAAAGTAACATTGTATTTCAATCATTTTTTTATATTAAAAAGTGATATTTACACTTAACTTTTTATTAAAATGTGATACAATTCATCCAAAAAAGTGATCGGTGTTTCGTCACTTTTTTTAATGTTGCCACTTTTTTGAGTTTTTATCATTTTTTTTAATTTCTTTCACTTTAT